GCAGGCGATGCCGAATCTGGTCAATGTATGTATACACGCACACACTTGCGGTTTATGCTTGGATGAGTCGACTCGGCATTTTTTACTCTCTCTGCCGCAACTTGCGCAAGGGTATTTTTTGCCGACGCCGCGTCAACTGTGTGAACAATTTGACAAGCTGGGAACTTGGCACTGTTGAGGCAAATGTTTACGCTATCATTTAATGGGCAATTCAAGATTATATCTGTACGGATTGATTTGTTAGCAATTTTTGAAAAAGGAAAGGTCTTTTTAACGTAACTTCCGGTCTGATGACGTCATACGCCTAAAACTTCGCACACGTCTTAAGTGGGTCAAGGTCATCATACACACTAATATTTGGGCGATTCCGACAAACTTCGCCACAGACATCTATTCAAAATACATTTTTGAACATTTTCAACCTGTCGCTAGAGGGCGCTCGAAGATTGCATGGCGTCATCGGTAGATGATTTGAAGAATACTATCAGCCAAGAGACTAACACAGTTGAAAGCAAGTTCATATCTATAAACACTTTCAAATAATAAGCCACTTCCGGTTTTGGCCTTTTTCGACCGGAAGCAAGGGTCACGTGATTGCACGCACACTGAATGAAATAAAGACCTCAACCTACTCTACCACTTGCTGGCAACAGAATGCTGCGGACGCGTACGGTTGATTTCTTATGCATTTTTAAATATTAAAAGTGTCAAAATTTAATTGCCTATAAATAAACACCGGATGACGTCATCATGACGTCATCATTACACAATGTTGTTTGAATTAGGGTCTTTGCTTGGACAAAGAGTAGTGTAAATGAATTACTGGCAAAGAGTCGAAAATGCCCTTTGAAAATCGACATTTTTTTTAAAATTTCTGTGTACAAAGGCTATGGGAAAAATTAAATATTCAAAATTCTATAATAAATCGCGTGATGACGTCAGCATGACGTAATGATTCAGGACACATCTTTGCTATAGGGACTATGCCTGTGGTAACTTTCAATGATGTATGACAAAGATTAATGCCAAAAGTGGCACTGAGAACAAACGTGCACAAAGTCAATGGCATTTGAAGTGGAACAAAAAGAAGAAGAAGAAGAAAGAAACTAGAGGTCTATGTCTGTTTGCAACAGAACATAGGGCTTTTCCGCATTATTTTTTTTTAAAATTGAGGTCATGTTTTTCTGTTTTGTGCAAAACTGTGTGCATTTACGTTTTGTCTAACAAACCACATTTAAATGGAAATTTGATTTTGGCATATTGCATTTATATATATATATTCACAAAATGACGTCATGATGACATCAGCTCAGTATTTATTTGTAACACATCCGGGTCTGCCCCCATACCAAGTTTCAACCCAATCTAAATTACTGTTCATGAGATATAGGGGCTTAAAATATACAAACGATGACGTCACATGTCTAATGATGATGTCATTGTAACAATACTTGGCAGTGCTCATTATTTTATTGCGGATTTAGTCTGTACCAAGTTTGAAAACAATCAGATTAATGAAAGTGTTAAATTTTGTAAGTGGAATAAAATTGGCAATATTAAAAAAATTGTAAAAAAATTAACCGATGACGTTATCGTGACATCATTTAAAATGTTGTGTACTAGTGCTTTTATCTACCCACCCACCAAGTTTCATGACGATCGGACATTATCTTATATGTGTTTCAAAAAAGCGCATGTTTGATGACGTCATCATGACGTCACACATTTTTCCAAATTGTGTACATATACATATTGCCTAACAAACCTAATACAAAAAGAATTGTAAATTTATCATATTGGGTTCGTGATATATGGCTTAAAGGTCCAAAACTTCAGAAATCTCTATAAAATCACACGATGATGTAATGATGACGTCACCTCAATAAATATTTGCAACACATCCCGGCCTACCCCCATACCAAGTTTCAACCCAATCGGACGTACTGTTCATGAGATACAGGGGCTTAAAATATACAAGTTAACGATGACGTCACATGTCTAAATGATGACGTCATTGTAACAATACTTGGCAGTGCTCAATATTTTATTGTGGTTTTAGTCTGTACCAAGTTTGAAAAAAATCAGATTAATAAAAGTGTTAAATTTTGTAAGCAGAATAAAATTGGCAATATTAAAAAAATCTTTAAAAATCGACCGATGACGTCATCGTGACGTCATTCAAGATTTTGTGTACTAGTGTTATTATCTACCCACCCACCAAGTTTCAAGACAATCGGACATTCCCTTATATGTGTTTCAAAAAATCGCATTGTTGCTGCGTCATTATGACGTCACACATTTTTCCAAATTTTGTGCACTTATCTATTGCCCAGCAAACCTAATACAAAAAGAATTTTGAATTTATCATATTGCGTTTGTGAGATATGGCTTATGGGTCCAAATATTCAAAAATCTATATAAAATCACACGATGACGTCATGATGACGTCACCTCAATTTTCGTCTATAACACATCCCGATCTACCTACATACCGAGTTTCAACTCAATCAGACTGACTGTTCTGTAGATATAGGACTTTGTAATATGCATATTAATGATGACGTCACGTGACCCATGATGACGTCATCATGACGTCGCTCGTCCGCACACATCTATGCTGTATGGACTATGTCTATGCAAACTTTGAACGATATGCAACAAAGTTTAAGGGCAAAAGTGGCGTGTAGAATAAACGTGTACAAAGTCTATGGGGTTTGGGGAAAAAAAGTAGAAGAGGAAGAAGAAGACTAGAGGTCTATGTCTGTTTGCAACAGAACATAGGGCTTTTCCGCGTTATGATTTTTTTAATCAATAATATGCCCTGATTATGCAAGAACATAAAATATGTCAAAGTTAGCCGAAAATCGGCTAAAATGGTCACTGTGGACAGGATTTGACCTTGGCAATACGATGTATTTGCGTGTGTACAAGGTCTTTGCTTGGAAAAAGAGTGATCTAAATGAATTACTGGCAAAGAGTCGAAAATGCACTTTTAAAATTGACAATTATTTTTAAATTTTTGATGACGTCATCGTGACGTCACTTCAGACTTTGCATACTAGTACGATTATCTACCTACCCACCAAGTTTCATGACAATTGGACCTTTCCTTATATGAATTTTGAAAAATCGCATTTTGATGACGTCATGATGACGTCACACATTTTTCAAGTTTTGTGCGAATACCTATTACCTAACAGACCAAATGCAAAAAAAGAATTTTGCATTTTGCATGTTGCGTTCGGGAGATATGGCTAAAAGGTCCAAAAAATCAAATATTCATATAAAATCTCAGGATGACGTCATCATGACGTCACCTCATTTTTAATCTATAACACATCCTGGTATAGCCACATACCAAGTTTCAACCCAATCGGACTTACATTTCTGTAGATATAAGACTTCACAATAGGTACGTAAATTTTCAAAAATCAATAAAAAAAATAGGTGATGACGTCATCGTGACGTCATAGTCTTGGCATAATTTTTGTATGAGGGTCTTCCTTGGCTGTAACTTTGATGACGATTCCAGATCGCCAAGTTATAAAAATGGTGGCTTGAAAACGTGTACAAAGTCAATGGGTTAAAAATCCAACAGCAGAAAAACTGCACCTTTAAATTCGTGATTTGCCTTTAAACTGAAACATTTTTATAAAATATTACTTGCTAGTAATTCTCGGCCAAAGTTCAGAACTACTCAGTAAGATATATCAGTGTTGTGTAGGGACAGACTTGTGGAGAAAGCTGTGTACAAAGTCTATGAGAAAAATTAATTATTCATGAATCCATAATCAATCACTTGATGATGACGTCATCATGATGTCATAGTCTTGGCATAATTTTTGTATGAGGGTCTTCCTTGGCTGTAGCTTTGATGACGATTCCAGATCGCCAAGTTATAAAAATGGTGGCTTGAAAACGTGTACAAAGTCAATAGGTTAAAAATCCCACAGGAGAAAAACTGCACCTTTAAATGCGTGATTTTCCTTTAAACTGAAACATTTTTATAAAATATTACTTGCTATTCTAACTCTTGGGAATATTTTCAATCAAATGACAGGCGTAAAAAAAATACGATTTCTTTTTCCTTCTCATAGTAATTCTCAGCCGAAGTTCAGAACTACTCAGTAAGATAAATCAGTGTTGTATAGGGACAGACTTGTGGAGAAAGCTGTGTACAAAGTCTATGAGAAAAATTAATTATTCATAAATCCATAATAAATCACTTGATGAATTCACCATGACGTCACTCTTTGGGACACATCTTGGCTATAGGGACTATGCTTATGCCAACTTTCAATGATATCTGACAAAGATTAATGCCAAAAGTGCTATAATACGTCCCTGTCTATGCGCATGCATGAACATAAAATCTGTCAAAGTTAGCCGAAAATCGGCTAAAACGGTCACTGTGGACAGGATTTGACCTCAGCAACACGTGCGCTGCATGCTGACTGAGGCCTGCTTCAAACGTCGTGCTTCTGCCGTGTCGAATACAATTCATTTCCTTGCGGCAAAAGCGCGACAGAATTTAGAATGGTGTCAAACGTCGAATTTAATCACAGAACAGTCGCATTTAATAATCACCTGACAAAATGGCGGAGACAGAGAGACAGAGGCTTAACTTAACGATTTTCCACACTATCAAAGCTGCCAGAAAGAGGAGACTCATGCAGCAGACATTTTGCATACACAGTTTATTGAGGAAGAGATCAGTCACATTGTGTATTCTTCTTTCACTTCTTTTATCAAGTCGAGATGTAACTGTTGTAAATAGCCCTAGATCATGCCGAAGGTTGTTGAGAAATGATGGATGGTTTCAGACAGTTCTTGATGCATACTCAGATGCCCGGTTCAAGAAGACATTTCGAGTGTCAAAGGCCACATTCAGTTTCATTCTGAATAACATAAAGCATGACTTGCAACGCGAGACGGTCACCGAAAACCCCATTTCCCCAGAGATGAGATTGGCAATATGCCTATATCATCTTGGCCGAGGAGATTACAATTTTACAATAGCGGAAATGGCTGGAGTGGGCACTTCCACCGTTTCAACCATCGTCCAAGAAGTGTCAGAGTCCATAGTCAACAATCTCTGGGATCATTCAGTGGCCAAACACTTCCCAGAAGACGAAGCACAGTTCAAGGAAAAGATGCTAGATATGGAAGAGCACTGGCAATTTCCTTGCTGCTGGGCAGCGGTGGACGGTTGCCATATTCCGATTAAATGCCCTGCTGGAGGCCTAGAAGCTTGCAAGGAATATCATAATTTTAAGAACTTTTATTCGATTGTTCTTATGGGGTTGGTGGACGCCAAATACAGATTTATATGGGCAAGCTGCGGTTTTCCTGGAAATTCCCATGATTCAATAATTTTGCAGTCTACCGATTTATGGGAAAAATTACAGGAAGGACAAGTAATTCCTCCATACGCCAAGACTGTTGATGGGGTGGATGTTTTCCCAATAATACTCGGAGATTCTGCATTTCCGTTCAAACCCTGGTTGATGAAACCATATACCGATGCCGTTTTGACTCCAAAACAGCGGTATTTTAACTACAGACTGAGCAGAGCACGAATGACAACTGAAGGTGCATATGGGCGGCTGAAAGGACGGTGGCGGGTGCTCCAAAGAAAATGTGAAAGCATCCCTGAGAATGTACGAAGTGCGACCCTTGCCTGCATCGTACTGCACAACATATGCATCGATAGAGGTGACACGGTATCAACAAAACTGGACATGACAAATGACCCTGCAACAGGAGAGAGGAGAGACCGGGACAAAATCCGCGCTCTGCTACACATGAACCTGAGCCCACCAGTGAGGAACACCAATAGACAAGCTGAAACCACTCGCAGCTGTCTAGCCACCAAGTTTTGGAGAGAAAAAGAGGGGCATGGTGTTTGCTAATGAACAGAAATGAAAAGAATGGACATGTCTTGACGTACTCATCAGCAACAGTTGATCCAGGAAATAACATTTTCTTTGCCTTTTCCCCCTGGTATTTGTAAAGTACAATGTTATTAAAAACATGTTTATAATTAGTTTGCTCTTGTTGCACCCTTTACCATTTTATAAAAGTAAGTGAAATTGTGGGGCAAGGATTGGAGATGACAGAGAATACCATTATCACTTCAATGTCCCCAGCAGCTATATGATAAAACTTCAACTGAAACTTTGATCTCAATCACCCTCTGAAGATGTTTCCGGTTAAGGCAATGTTAAAAATCTTCTAACACAAACAGAAAAAGTACTTAAACATTTAGTTATACATGTATTGTTCCTTTTGTTGTATGTTTAACCCAATAATGATCACTGCAATTTCAAAATAGTTTAAATCACTCCAGTATTCATCAAAGCCATCATCATTCAAAACAGTTCAGTACTTCAGTGCTCAACAGGCAATACCTTCCTTTTGCATTAAAAACATGCACTGCAAAAACAGTGTTCTGCCTCCTAATATTTTGTTAAACAACTTGCTTGCCATCACACAGTTTCTAAACATGTCCTACCACAGCAGAATGCTTGGTGCTTGCAAATTAAACATTTGGTATTTTAGAACACCAAAAGCTCTGCTGCTACACACTGCAAGTGTTTAGCAGCTGAACTGCAAGTGTTTACTGGTATGACATGTTTGCAAACTGGTACACAAATGTAGCAAGGAAGTGTTCAGCAAAAAGTTTATAGTTTAGACAATGTTTTTGCAGTTGATGTATTGATGACTGGTTGATACAAGAATACATTTTTTTCAACTTATTCTCTTTTTTTTGGTAAAACAAAGATGAATCATGCAGTGAGATATAAGCAGAGAAATTGGCTCTCAAACTCTGCCTCCTGTAGCCTAGCTGGACAACTTTGTCAGGACAACTTTGTCATTACAATTTGAATTTGAGGCCTGTGGGACACCCTAGATTGAGCCTGATTATAACAAAGTGTATTTAATTGCTATTTGTTTATACTTGCAAAGGACACCATTATCTCACCCATTTTCCATTTTACAAGGGTAGTTCATATGACGGATTTACTTGTCAGGTCTATGCTGCATTATAATTTCCAGGTGATGGTAGCAAGACATGATATCACCACATGAAGTGAAGTAAAATATTGAAATTCAAAAATTTACAAAAAGGACACTGAATTCTGCTTTATTTCAAAATATAAAACTATCATTTATATAAAACAATGATTAAATGTGATTTCAAAATGATTCATGCAAGTGAGTGGAAAACTTTTTCAAAGATTGTTATTGTAAACATGTAATTTACATGTTCTTCCTGTATTTATCACCTGAATTCTGCTTTATTTCAATATATAAAACTATCATTTATATAAAACAATGATGAAATGTGATTTCAAAATGATTCATGGATGTGAGTGGAAATTTTTTTCAAGATTGTTATTGTAAACATGTAATTTACATTTTCATTTTATGATTCAATTCTATTTTGCAGTCACCAAGGGAAACAGTTGATCATAAACATACACATGTAACACCCATATTAAAAATGTACATGTATGGAAAACCTTTTTTTCCAGAGTATAAGTAATGAGGACACTAAATGAAGCCCAAGTATGATAATGTTGATTGTTGACATTCATCTGTAGTGTAAGCATTGTGTGTGAAGTACACAACTTGACAAAATGGAGCCTACTTGCTGCTTTTTGCAATTGAGATATTTTAATGAAAGCATACTGATGCATTAAACATGCAAGAATTGCATTCACTTTATTTCCATGTTATTGTTTGCACCTTTGAGTTATACTTTTATGCATTATAATGTACATGTCTCAAGAAAATGATCAACAATTTCCACCAAATGAAAATTCAAAGGGTGATCATATTGAGAATATATTTATGTTCAAAGATACACAACTGTGTCACACTATAAGGTGTCATGTCTGGCTAATATAACTTTAAAAAATCTTCAATGTGCTTAAACATATTTCACATGTATATGTACATGTATTAATGCAAAATTTCAAAGAATTAAAGCCTTAATTTAATTTGAATCAGCTGAAGGTAAGCAAACAAGAACAGTAACTCAACTTTCAACCTTTATAGTAAGGGCAGATAAGGAATAAAGTGGGTGAATCCCCCTTGGAAACCAATATTTCAACAATATAACAAAAATTGCTATTTGTGCCCAAATATGGCAGTTTCCAATAACTTATCAGCCCCACCTCATACAATGTGTGATCCTTATTATTTACCATCTTTCAACTGCCCATGCATAGAAGTGTTAACCAGCTATATGTGACTTTTAACAATTACGGAAAAGAGGAATCCACAAGGCAAGCAAAGAGGGGCATGTACCCGGCTCAATTTGCAGGCTTTGAGATCCCATAACTAGCAGAACCTCACCACAAGTGTGCCATTTCTGATCTGACTCAAAGGTTAATTCAAAATGTGCCAAAAGACTAACACCGTTGAAAGCAAGTTCATTTCTATTACCACTTTCAAATAATAAGCCACTTCCGGTTTTGGCCTTTTTCAACCGGAAGCAAGGGTCACGTGATTGCACGCACACTGAATGAAATAAAGACCTTAACCTACTCTACCACTTGCCGGCAACAGAATGCTGCGGACGCGTACGGTTGATTTCTTATGCATTTTTGAATATTAAAAGTGTCACAATTTAATTGCCTATAAATACACACCTGATGACGTCATCATGACGTCATCATTACACAATGTTGTTTAAATTAGGGTCTTTGCTTAGACAAAGATTGGTGTAAATGAATTACTGGCAAACAGTCAAAAATGCCCTTTGAAAATCGACAATTTTTTCTTAATTTTTGTGTACAAAGTCTATGGGAAAAATTAAATATTCAAAAATATATAATAAATTAGTCGATGACGTCACCATGACGTCAATCTTCGGGACACATCTTTACTATAGGGACTATGCTTATGCTAACTTTGAATGATGTATGACAAAGATTAATGCCAAAAGTGGCATTGAGAAAAAACGTGCACAAAGTCTATGGGATTTAGGCGACAAAAAGAAGAAGCCAAAAAAAAAAAAAAAAAAAAAACCAGAACAAAAACAAAGGCTTTTTCGCAAAATTGCGAAAAAGCCAAAAATCCGAACAAAAAGAAAGGCTTTTTCGCAAATTTTGCGAAAAAGCCAAAAAAAAAAACCAGAACAAAAACAAAGGCTTTTCCGCAACTTTGCGGAAAAGCCAACTATGCCAACCTCGATTACCATGCTTTTCACCTGGTACAATGAGACATGGTGCACATATTGGGGTTGTGTGAACCAAATACCTGCTACACAGCTGAGATTTTTAAAGCAACATGCTCATCTCTGCCTTCCACTGATTGCAAAACTCCCTTTGGGCAGGTCCAATGAACTTAATTGAGTTTACCGTCTCGACATAGAGACGCGACGGGCAGCAATTCTTGTTGTCATATTGCTGCCCTCCAGTTATACTTGCGAATGGCTCTTGTCCCTTCCCTTCCAGGTGAGACCTCTTTGCCATTCAGTTTCAGACTGCTACAGAGAAGACCACTTTGATGAAGGTTCGTCCCAAACTGCCTTCCCAGTCGTCTACAGCTGTCAAGCATTGGATTTAGTCCACCGCTCGACACCCTGCTAATAAATGGGCCACCTTCTATCCTTCAGCCTTAACCGCTGCCTTTCGGCCACGGTTCAGCTGGCAGAAGTGAATATACCCACCAATCACAGGACCTGTGAGAACCCGTTGGACCCATTTTCACCAGGTCCTGGGGCCAAATCACTTCAGTCCAGTGGCTAGTCGACACTGTCTCACTCGGCTACTGCCTGGAGTTCTCAAGTGCCCCTTCGTCAGACACGAATGCATGCCAGACTCAGGGTCTTCATCAGAATTGTATAGAAGTCACTGGCCAGTGCCTGCCATCAAGTCACTGGCCAGTGCCTTCATATGGATGTTCATAAACCTTGATGACGGATTCATCATTGGCGCATAGCGGGTTTCAACGACTCACGCAGCACATCCGACACGCTCAATTTCCAAGGGCCTGGGTTTTGCATCAACAATTCTAAATCCTAGCCAATCTCATCCCAATGTCCCAGTTATTCGGTGCAATCTCCGATCTACACGTACAACGGGACATGGCTCACCCGACATGGGGGCGAATCGCCAATGTTTGTCAATGCCATTCCCCCATGGCCTACTGGTGAACCTCACAGACTTGTTTTCTTGGTGCCGCCTGATTAGGGGCCTGCTTAAATTTTCTGGCCCCCTTTTGTCCACGGTTCCACCCTGCATCCCACGTGGTTCCGTGTTCACAGAATACCCGGCTGCGTCCCCGGTGGTGGATGCAACTGGACAATATCAGCCAGGGTTTTTCCCACCCTTTCAACCCACCATGACGATCACAACAGATTTGTCTCTGTTGGGTTGGGGCACAGTGATACAATCTCACCAAATGGCGGTCGTCTGACTTCCATCAGCCACCTGCCACAATAATAATTCTCAAAATGGCAGTGGTCTTTATCACCCTTCATTGCTTCTAGAGCATAGTGCAGGGTCAATCTGTTGTTACCCATTGCAGCAACACAACTGCGGTGTCCTACATATAGGTGATACTAATATACATGTACTCCTGTGCCTGTGCCTACTCAAGTGGCAACTACGGCATTGGCGTGGCCAGCATGGCATCTATCTCAAAGAAGTCCATCTGGCGGACATATGCCACACCACAACCGATGGACTCTCCAGGGGCTTAGCACAATTTGACCATCTGCATTATTGATCTGTTCGCAGTAGTACTCAGCCGCCAGCTCACGGGGTACTGTTTCAGATCCCAATAGCTAAAGGCGTGGCGTGCTATACGCACGCCCGTTTGCGTGGACCAACTTGTTTGCTTACGCTTTTTCCTCGATCTCCCTACTCATTGGAGTACTTGGGAAGATCGAGCAGCATCCCTTTAGGGTCCTCCTGATTGCCTCATTTGGCTCCGACAACCATGGTTTCCATGACTTGTCTGTCATTCCACCGCCTTCTCATGCGACTGCTGCCATGGCAGTTCGTAGCAGGCATCAGTCAACCCGGATTGTTCGTGACAGCCAATTACAACATTTTTATAAATGGTCTGTACGACCTACGGTGGATCCTTTGGCAACAACTCTAACCGAAGTTGGCGATATTGGTCTCCACCCCACCAATCGGGTTTTGCGGTCCTCATTGTCTAGAACTATCGCTCTGAAATTGCGACTGTTCATTCAGGTTTTCAGGATGGTTCTTCGATTCCCGACTGCACCATCCTCACACATCTTTTCCGAGGCATGTTTGTTTCATGACCCTCCCAATGGACACACCTATACTATCATGTGATCGTGGGCGGGTCTTACAAGCTTTCACCTGGTTCCTGCTTGAACCACTAGACCAGGCTACTGCTCTTTAACCTTTTCCTTGAAAACAGTTTCCTCCTGACAGCGCATGAGTGAACTCCACGACCATAGGTCAAGGACATTTGCGTTGGGAGCTCGGTTGGCTCTGCCTGACCTACCATTGCTCTTTTTTCACGAAGTTCCAGTCAGTGATGTTCTCCCGCCTGACATCTTCGTTCCTGACTGAAGATCTTGTCCTCTGTCCCAGAGAACAAGATCTCATGTCATATCCGGACCCTTCAGTGGTACCTCCATCGGACCGCACCGATCCGTGGTGACCACTAGGCTCTGTTCATTACCACGTTTCACCACATCATCCAGCATCCTACGATACAATCGCTCGCTGGGTCATGATGGCCATACAACTCCCATCGTCTGAGTGACGTATCCTGAACAGAGTACAGGCCTACAGGAGTTCACAGCGTGGCAATCTCTTGGGCTCACTTTTTCAAAGGAGTGCTCCTTGCAGATATCATGCAAGTGGCATGTTGGAAATCCTCCAACACATTCATCTCCTGTTGTTTGAGGAACGTGCTGCAAGCTGACGGCAGAACCGTTGTGCAGCCCTCCCTACTGCCCCAGCGGCGCAACCGGATCCAGTTCCTCCTCCGCTGGTGCCCCGCAGTACCGACCAGTGACGGCTTACTCCATTATGGCAAGAGCCGATTCCTCTTGTTTACTTTAGTGGGTTTAATCTTCTTGGCTTTTGGCTCACGCTCCCTTGCAGCCCGCCTTACACATCGTACACTCTCATGTCGTATGCGAACCCACCTTCCTAAAACGGTGCTTGATGCCGACGGTTCCGTTGCGGCGCAAGCAAATCGCGAGTCGACCTGAGGCCGGCTTAAGAGCGGCGCTAAAAGTGCATAGGGGCGGGGCTGCAACCCCCTCCATGTACAGTTTCGCTTTTCTGTTTTCATGAAGAGGCGAATTTAGTATTTCACTGTCTGAACAAACATTTGAGATAATCGCGTTTAAAGTTGGTCCTTTTTCATTTGACAATTTGAAACTTAAAAGATGCATAAAATATGCAAGATTTAGATATCAGAGGAAAGAAGAGCTTCTAATCTTCCTAAATGTAGCAATCTTTAAGAAAAATAGGTGATTAGTTTTGCAGAATTAATCAATTAAGACCAATTAGCAAATTCGCCCCTTCGTGAAAACGCTAAAGTGACTACGTGCAGATTTCGCCCTTCTGCGGTCCAAGTCAATGCGTGTTTTGTACAGTACGCGCAGATTCTGCCCCACTGCGCATGTGCCTTGAAATTCGCCCCTTCGTGAAAACGTTTTATTGCACGCGCATGGAATTCGCCCCTTCGTGATATACGCGCCATTGTATTACAATGTATTTATTTACTGAAAATTTATTAATACCATAGAGTGCGGAAATATGCCCCTTTGTGAAAACGCAAAACGGCACTTTTGGCAATTTCGCCCATTCGTTAATTAGGTTAAATAAGATTTTAATTAATTTTTTGAAAGTATAGCCTCACCAGGTTGTAGATATTGATATATTCATTCAGTTTCACTAAAAAAAACCAAATTTCGAAAAACAGACGATTTTCATGAAATTCGCCTCTTCGTGAAAATGGTGACGATATCTCCGCAATGCACTTTTTTAATCATGCCAAGTTTCTTCGACATTTTTTTTTTTACCTGTATGTCTTGCAGTTATTTTGACTCCAAGTTTATGACAAATAGTGCATACATTCGTCACAAATGGCCATTTACCAAAACAGGTAGGGCCAAATGTTAACTTTTTAACTGTTAACTTTGAAGTCTGACCTAAAATCACTCTTTTTAAGTAATTAATTTTTTTATGATCCACAAGTGAATACATGTAAATCCAAACTTTTTTTTCCCCCACTACCATTGCGTTGCAACGGTATCAGCGAAAAGGTAAAGGAGGGGTTGACGACCACACCCCCTCTGCACTTTTTGGGCGACTCTTAAGTTAATTACTCTGATCTACAGTTGCTCTTACGTTATTTTTCCATTATCTACAAGTGCCAAGCTACAATGTATCGAATGGTACTGGTTTCGTTCTTGTTCTCAAAATTTGATTAATGCAAAATTAGCCCTATTTGGCATGGTGCCAATGGGCCTTATTCTGATCTAGCGAAACTTATGACTGGCCATTCTGTGATCAGGGTTGATGATACTATGTGGAGTACTGTGGCCTCGTGGTTAAGGGCACTGCTTCGTGGTCTGCGGGTAAAGCTGCAGGTTGTGGGTTCGAGTCCTGGCGGGGTCATGGTGCGTGTGCCCTTGGGCAAGGCACTTTGTCACTCATTGCTTCTCTCCACCCAGGAGTAAATGGGTACCTGTGAGGGCAGAGAGGGTTATTGTGATTGAATTAGCTTCCTTGCGCCTAACAGGCTGCATCGAGCTGTATACTCCCCAGGGAGCTGAGATGGTATTTGGAATGTTTCATGTGCCCAATGAGCAGGGGTAATAATGATGTAGCGCCTTGAGCACCATTCCTGGTGGATACGTGTGCTTTATAAATATCCACTATTATTACTATGCTATAATACCATCAGGGGATTTTTCCCCAAATGTTTTATTAAACCCTAACCAGCTCTCCGTTTATGTGGGATCCAGTGTAAATTTGGTGTCATTCAGCCCTTTGCTCAGACAGTTGAGACTCTAGGGTGGGGATCTTCACCCTCTTTGTATAACAATTACCCCCCTCCCCCCTTCCCTGCTGTTTAAAAGGTCACAAACAGTAAACATTTCCTTCCACTTTCCCTGTTATGCTTTTATCACACTTATGGTCACTTGACCAATTTTGACCCAAGTAACAACATGGCTCAGAATGCATGTTTGCACAGGAGGGGTAAAGACTTGTTTGCATTTCTTCAAGACAGTGCTTTGTTTATGAAAGATTCTATGCCTCATAATCCCTTTGGTATATTTTAGGGAAACTACAAGGATGTGCTGAACATGAAGGAGAGCAGCCGCCAGCGACTGGAGGCTCTTCGTGAAGCCACAATCCGGGAGGAATTGGAGTACAACGACATCCTGGCTGCTGAAAAACACCAAAAAGCCTACAAGGATCACATGAGACATTACAGGAATGCCTCCCAATCCCATCGTAGCAAGGTGGAGGCAATACTTGATGAGATTCTGTCAGATGTAGTGGAAGCAGCCGATAACCTTGAGAACAGGATAGGAGAGCATGTTTTTGACCAGTCTAAGCAGGTATGGAGAGCATGGGTTACATCTAGGACGTTGTCTTCAAGTATTATTTTCAGTTGTTGTACAGGTTTTCATCTTTTCAATTTTCATGCTGACATCATCTTTTCAGTCTGTTCAGTGTGTATAATTTTGTTCATCCTTTCAGTCATCATCAATTACACATTGTCCACTCCACTTAAGTAATCCAGTCCCAAATTTAGTCACTAGCTTATCATATCAATTGTAACCAAATCAAGTCGCTAGATATTCAAATGATTTGTGAGAGAAACAATCCTTTGTTTTATTCATCCCCTTTTACTTGTGACCAGACTTTTAAATTAAAAGGGCATTGTGTCCTGTGAAGCGCCTGAGTGGTCTGTAAAATGCATTTTTCACAAAAAGATATTGGCTGTAAAAAGCATTTTTAAACAGAATATAAATGTCTAAACCATGCCTTAAAACTTTACCGATGTTTGTGGAATATATGGACTAATTTATATTTTTAAAAAACCACACAGAACTGTTTTTGTTCTAAATTAATCAAATTACCGTTGCTTTGTCATTCTTCCTGTAAGTTCACTAGCAAGCAAATGGGAAATTAGCTACCATATCATACGCTTTCACCACCCAGGCCAGGCTTCCTAATTCAGTATGGTACCAGTGCAGTCAGCTACGTGGAATTAGACCTGTAAACAGGTTGTTGTAATGTATCCATCAATACTTCACTTGCAGGACAGTGTGCCTCTTTAATCGTGACTAGACTTTTGATGGACTTGACCACAACATTCATTGAACATGTCTTTTCATCAATATACATGTATGCCAACTTTCATTGTTGCCAGGCTAAAGGAGCCTATGTCGAAGCTGTTGTCCGTGTGGATGATGAAGATGTGGTAAAAGTCCGTCGAGCCAATGGTATGAGCCAGGCAAGCCGACAGCAAGGAATGAGTCATCTCATCGATGCAAGCAACAACCAGTATGTCCTGGCTAAACCCAAAGACACTACAGTACCTCTGGAAGACCATCACTTACTTCAGGTTTGAGTATAATATCCACTCAGAACATGGTTCAATTTTTATCTTTAAAAAATATTAAACAAGAAAGCTAGTGGCCAAAAACTTGGGCCAGTTTGCTGCAATGAGTATTGAGTGGGGTGGAAGTTCTCTAGCGTATTTTTGAAGGAGTCCCTTTCAATCACCTCAGTTAGAAGCTGACAAGAAGTCCGTATGTTTCCTCTTAATGTTGATAAGATGGGAGGCAAAACCACGTATGAAAAACAGAATTGCTTTGACACAATTTGATTCCATAAATTTGGGGTCCATTTTTTCCCTGTTCCTGTTAAATCTGACATTCGTGATTTTATAATTCTAATGCACTCCGAAATGCAGTCTTCTTCCAAGAGTGATTATGAATAGCAAACTACCTACATGTACCCAACAAATGAAAAACAGATGTTTGAAGTGATTCTTACTGATAATTGAATGGCAAGTTACAAAGTACCACTTGAGGTAACAAAGACGGGAGAAATGACTCTTTTTGGACCCTAAATTTATAGAATGTCCCATATAAGCAAAGTTTTTTTATTGGAAAAAAGGTCAAAGGAGAGTTGTTAAGAACATTTTGATTGGCTTTTATAAGTTCAAAGTTAAGAAGAGACCAAAAAGTATATGAATAATAATATAGTGAAGTTAACATAAACAGGAGTTGTGAATCTGTACACTTCACTGGGTTCAGGCTAAATCATGAAACATAAATCATGTAGAGTCCTGTAAATGTTCAGACCAAAAGGAAATCCTGTCGACTTTGGGATACTATAGAATTTGATAATGTGCCAGAGTTCCCAATGTAAAATAGACCAGAGACAAAGCCAACCTTTGTGTAGACCAAAGCTAAGATTTGTATTGTTATATCACTATGTTCCCTTAGAATATACCTTGATTTACGGCCACGTAAGTACACGCAAACTGACTTTAGACCACAATGTTTTCTTTCAGATATTACCGGAAATAACCAATAAACTTTTGTTTGGTCGCATTTTATTGCTTTCAAAAATAGGGTCGGTCGGATGACCTGAACTAAAGGTATTTTTTTGTTCGGCCTTATGGTCTCTGTGCAGTGCACACATTGTATGACTAACAGAACCATCAAATTAGGCATAACTGTTTGGGCCCCATCTTGATGAAAATCAAATAGCAGTACTTCTTTCTCATTCTGACGAAACAAATCACAAATGATTACCTCACTTTGATGGCATGAGTCATGTAATGGACTTGCAATTACACTTAACATATGTGATTTGATTACTGTTACCAAGGATATCTTGCTGATGTCTATCTTGGCCTTTGTGTGTGGCTGGATGTGTCTGTCTATTGGTCTGCCCACCATGTTTGGTTACACCATGGCTGGCGTCATTCTGGGATCATCTGGACTCAACCTGATCAAAGTAGGTTTATCAGTTAGACTGCAGACGTACCGGTAACCTCATATAACAGACAGAAGTTGCCCCATTGTTTTACAAGTTTTAACAACAAAATATTCAGTTTCCTATAATTCTTTGATATAGGTTTTCCCAGTTAACACTTGTATCATGTAAATTCCATGGAAAGATACTTTAAAGCTACAGTCCATCTTTTGCTGCGATCGAAAAAGTAACTGACGTAATTAGTGTTAAAAAACATACTTGGTTGAAAGATAGTAAGGGAACTAAACTCCCTGTGAAATTATTTTTTTCTTGCTGGACCCTGTCATTTTGAAGAAACAAATAAAAAAAGACGCACCATTGGAAATTTCCGTTAGTAGTTCGTTTGTTTATTCGGCGAAGTGCGCGCAAGTGTTGACACAATGCACACGTGCGCGCGGTTGCTATCATTCGTCGGATCGGTGCGCGACATTGCGTAGCTGCAATCGGCTCAGTGAGAAGGTGTCTCGGATGCTGAATTCAAAACATAATTCAGCAACTTTTGATTTGAAATCGAGATCCTAGAATGTTGTTTTTCTCGAAACAAACAGCTGAAGCTAAGCTGACACTTCATCAGGTTAGTTGTTCAGTCCCCTTCTTTAGAATTTGAGCACGTTTGTTGCTTAAAACGAACAAAATGTACAAATTACAAATAATGGACTATACCTTTAAGTTTGTCCCAGAACGCCGTTTTTTCCTTCATATTTATCAGGTACATGTACAACTTGCAACTGATTTGTCCTAGCATCAGAAAATTTGTGTGGAGATTGCCGTTGAATTAAAAAAAAACAAATTCATTTTTGGCTTTTCCACAAAGTTGCGGAAAAGCCTTTGTTCCTGCATGGCATTACGCCTGAGGACAGACAACAAAAGGAGCACAAAGGGGCCATTGATCCTCGAAGGAAGGTGCCTATTGTCCTCGAACTCAGGTTTGTGTGCTTAGTCTATGGGAGAGTGTTATATTACAGGGACAAAGGAAAACACAAAGCCAATCCTCGGAAGCATAGCAAAAAACGACTGTGTGTTTTTGTTTGTGTGTGTGTTGTTTTTTTCTTGGGCGTGCTGTCCCAAAATCCCATAGACTTTGAACACATCTTTTCTGATCAGCACAGTTAACAAAGTTCTCGAGCTTTCTGACAATGCCGTCAGGATGACGTCATCAAGTATCAGATTACAAGTGTCCAAAGATTTCTAGATTTAATCTTTGGAAATCATTATAAAATCAACCATGATAATAATATTGGAGTCTTATATAGCGCACGAATCTACCAACAATTAGGTACTCAAGGCGCTGGAAATTATGTCAATTATTAAAGAAAGGTAAATAAAGTTTATGAGAAATATGAGACCCATTATGTAGCACCTTATAATGGTTTACAAGGTGCTGCGGCGCACATTGCAGCCACTGCCAGAAACACCGGGGCAAACCCCTTCTCTCAGCGATAAGTGTTACTGGGTTCTTTACACAAAGAAATTGCATTACACAACACACGGGACCTACGGTTTTACGTCCCAAAAGGACGAAGCAATAATGGTAAAGTGCCTTGCTCAAGAGCACAAGCACCATGTTCCCACGGTCAGGATTCAAACCCATGCACCATGACACACGAGTCGAACACCGTAACCATTGGACCACAGCGCCCCACAACCATGCGACCTGAACTTGACTTTTGATAGAATAATCAAGGATCTTCATTTTATCTTGTGTGAGTCCAATCACTTGACCCTTCCATCCGGTCCAAACTGGAAGTGCCTTATAATTTAAAATTGGAAAAAGATATGAACTTGCTTTCAAAGATGTAAGTTTCAGGCCAGGTTGTACTTCACAAGAACATTACCGGTGATGTCACAACATGTTAGAGCTCCCCTCTAGCGGCAGGTTTAACAATGTTTAAAATGAATAATTATTTGATGTCTTTGGCCAAGTTTGCTGAAATCACTCTATAATTGATGTGTACAATCAGCTTCATGCTGAGAACAAGTTGAGGGGGATAAAGATCAATGATGTCACCAGACCAGCAGTTACTATAAAAAGACCTTTAATTTTTAAAAAAATTGCTGAAAAATCCACCGTGAGAGATATAATCCAGATTTTTTGCTTCAACTAGCATGGTTAACATAACTCTCATGCTTTCAATGATTATGAATGATGTCACAATGACATCATCAAGTATCGAATTATAAGCAACCAAAGATTTCTAGATTTAATCTTTGAAAATCAATATAAAATCAACTGTGAGAGATCTGACTTGGCTTTTGACGGGAATGGACGAAATAATCCAGGGTCTTTGTTGAAGCAACCAATTTTTAATAATAGAATCCATTTTCTTTGCAAAATTATCATTTACAGGACTGCACATCGCCAAAAAAAGCATCTTATCATAAAAAAATCACAATGCAGAAAAGACCTATAATTTGTTCATCGAACAGACCTCTAGTTATGATTAAGGGAATAACAGTGTGAGGAGCCGGTCTTCACTGCGTGATAATGACCGGGTTTGGGGGTGACCGCTGTTGTTAATAGCGGTCACCCCCAAACCCGGTCATTATCACGCAGTGAAGACCAGATCCTCACACTGTTATTCCCATTAATAAATACCTTTTTAACGAAATAAACAGCTTAAATGCTCCAATTTTGTGACTTTTTTTCCAGGGATATTTCCAGACTTTTTTGTGTTCATGTTCATGGGCCATATTTTAGCTTATGCGTGGTACCCTGTCTCTTCAATAAGCGTTGTTATATACACCACAGCCGGGCCCAGGCTGCGCTGGACAATTGCAACGTCTTCATTGCGTACGCGTACGACTTCTGCTGCCGTAGCCAAACAGATTACAACAATGTTTTCATATTTTTACCTTATGGAGGAAGCTGAAATTTCGTTTACACATTCCTTGTGTCCAGAATTACAAAGATGCTTGGTTTAGGAAAGGTAAATATGTCGATGGGCGAAGTATTTACGGAAAATAAATTGTAGATCTACGCTTTCGCCGTAACATCCTCAGTATAGTGCACTGCCGCTGTACGATGTCGTTTCAAAACTTCCTTACGCGTGCGTACCCATAGCAACTGTGTTGCGTACGTGCGCGTCAGTCTCACGCGAAGGTGGTTGAGTGCATGTGCAGTGCTGTATTGTTACAAGCTGCCGTAGGACTGTTGTAAATTTGGCCAATCATTGCCTTCCATGGGGCTGGATCAATGCTGGTTCAGGGGCCATTTATTCGCTTGTTCTTTGAAGCCGGTCATTATCACTGTTAATGCCCGGCCACGTGATCGAGTCTCGACCAATCAGAAACCATCAACTCTCCAAGGTATTTATAAATTTATTTTATATCTTCAGACAAGAATTAAAAATCCATTAAAAAAAAGAAAGAAAATTGTCCTGGTCTAGACAAAAGTTTGTAAAACTGTTATCAATGATGTGTCAGACCATGTAAATGGCATGACTCTAGAACAGTGGGGCATTGTTTACCTCGAAGTCTAGATACCCCAAATTTTTTATCCATTTCCCTTTAGGTTCGACTTGGTCGAGAGCCCGTCATGTGGCCAGTTTTAAACGGTTGATAAAGACATGGCTGGCTGGTCTTAAACAATTTTCCAGTGTCACATAAAATTTTGACTCCTACGGAACCCGGTGCCAGCACCGTTTTATTAGTTGAACGTTCACAATCCTCACGTAGGCATGCACAATACTACCAGTGAGTCAGTATTTCATAGTCCTAAATTCACACTACACCTGTACATCTGTGTTGTGCACCACATCACGCAGTACACACGATGTGCGCGTCAATCTCCATATAAGGAGTTGTTTACCAGAGGGCATTACCATTGTATAGCTAGAGGGTGTTTTGTTGATCGAAATTGTTGAAAATTTATAATTTTGACTTGTTTTGACTTTTGGACCGAAAAGGTATTTATGAATGGGAATAAATATGTGCGTGGTCTGTATTAAACACTCTTTTCAAGATCGGTTGGAATCTGGATGCTGATAATTCAGCTCAGGTAATTATCAGCACCCAGACTCCAACCGGTTTAAACAGAGTGTTTAATATCTCCCAAGCACACATTTATTCCCTTAATAATGAATGCACAACGGTTTACTCATGCCTATCAAAGCTGTACAAAACCACTGCCCTCTAACTCTGCCTTAAAGAAAAAGGTCTATAAATGCTTGAACTGAATATGAATGACCAAGCACAAAAATGAATGAAAACTAGACGTATGTTTGTGGACAAGCACAGGTCTGTTTCGGCAACTTTTTTGTGACATGTGACGTGTAAAGTTTTAAGTATAAGTTCCATCCAGGAAGGAGTTCCGTTTATGATAAATGGTGGCATATCATGTGATTACATTCTCATATGAGAATTGAATTATGACGTCACATGTCATGTGATGACTCATAATGACATCACATCAATTTTCATCTATAACTATAATTTTGTCTGTAAAGAACAACTTAGCAAGAGCATATCATTGAAAGCAAGTTCACATCCTTCACCAATTTTAAATTACAAGGCCCTTCCGGTTTCAACCGGAAGGAAGGGTCATGTGATTTTGCACGTAATATCAAAAATGAAGACCCTGGATTATTCTATCAATTGCCGCCAAAGTCATGTTCAGGTCTCTCACGGTTGATTTTATATTGATTTTCAAAGATTAAATCTATTAATCTTAAACGTGACATCATGTGACTCATGATGACGTCATCCTGACACCACTTCATTTTACATCTATAACACATCCCAGTGTAGGTGCAAAATATGCACATTAAATGTGACGTCACTTGACACGTGATGATGTTATGATGACGTAAATGTTTGGGGCACAACTGCAGGTGCTGGTCTAAATGTGTGCTGAGTATAAAGGCAATTGGATTGATTTTAGGTTTTACAGTCACTTCGCTGAATTTTCACTTCGCCAACAACAAATTCGCTGACAACCACTTCGCCGATTTGCCACTTCACCTAATTACCACTTCACCAATTTGCCACTTCGCCAAATAGCCACTTCGCGGAATTATCACTTCGCCGAATTGCCTCTTTGCATACTGCTCTGCATGCACGAACGCCCATGCTTGCAGGCACACTACGTACAAAAATGTACACGTACGTATGTACGTACGCATGCATGGGTGCTAAACAACGAGCTACGTGAAAAAGTTGGCGGAGCTAGGCCGTGGAATTTGGGGTACTTTGGCTCGACTAAAATGGTCATTTCCCCTATTATCTAAACCCAGATGAAATTAAACATTTGAACCATAATCGAACTGAAACAGTACTAAGGGTAATAAGAAACAAAAAAAGTTTCAGAAATAAACTACGCTCGACCAAATACATTGTCACCGTGAATAGGCACCGTCGACATCGTTGTTCGGCCGATACCGATATATCGTTTTTTTTATATCGATATTATCGATATTTTATACATTTAATTTTCAAGGTATTATAATAGGCGTGAATTATACGGAATCTACTCTTTCGTTCGCTTAAAAATAAGGCCTGACGCCCTGACACTGAATCTGCGTGGGGACGTATTAAGTCCTGAACCCCAAACAGGACGGGTGATGTAGTCAATGTAGTCAACACCAGACCCTTAACTTACAGATTTCAAGGCATCTGCCTAATTGTGCAGGAGTGATTTCGGAATCTATATATCATACAGTACACCTTTCCAGTCACAAAATAACAGAGAACAAAAGAGAACAATATCATCCACGATTCCCAGCATACGTCCGCAATTGGGGACGTGTACAAATCCTATGGGAGTCTTCCTAAAAAGAGTACAAACAAAAGAGGGACAATAGGACGTCCACGATCGACGGTGAACGCACGTTTGCGTGCGTGCGTGCATGCATGCATGCATTATGTGCTTGCATAGATACATGTATACGTGGGCATACACTTTCGGCGAAGTGGTAATTCGGCGAAGTGGTAATCGGCAAAGTGGAAAATCGGTGAAGGTAATTCGGCGAAGTGGCAAATCTGCAAAGTGGTTGTCGGCGAATTGGTTGTTGGCGAAGTGGAAATTCGGCGAAGTGACCGACATCCGATTTTAGTGGCCAAAGTGCCCTAGACAAAAGAAATGTTTACAAATGCTATGGGCAAAATTACTGAAATTTTTTTTTTTTTTCAAATTGTTGCCGAAAAAGCATTTGCTTTTTAATTCAATGCCAATCTTCTCATGAAACAAATACACTGGACCAAATATGAGATGTGGCGTTCTGGAATGAAATAAAAGAGTCTTTCCATGGAATTTGAATAATACAAACTAAAGTAACTGGGAAAACATATACATTGTATCGTAATAGGTTTTGTAATTTCCTTTTTAGATATTATCTCTTTAGTCTCTGGGAATTGTTATCCCCCAGAATTCAAAATTTTGATGGAAATAAACCATAGCCCTTTTGTCTATTGCAGGGTTTGTGTGTTTTCAAGGAATGGTTTGGAAAAGTGTTCCAATTAATCTGTATTTTGTCACCCATACAAGTGACTTGGTATATTTCCATTATTAAGGTAGCTTCCACAATTGACATTATACTTCTCTGCAGGCATTGGTGCAGTTTGAGACTTTGGGCGAGTTTGGTGCTTTCTTTATTCTGTTCACAGTTGGCTTGGAATTCTCGCCGGAGAAGATTAAGAAGGTGATTGTAGATATAAAGTGCTGTCAATTTTTGTATGCCCTGCTGGCAAAGCAGAAGGGGCATACTGTTTCTGCCTTGTCTGTCCGTGTGGATGTACACTACATACACCACAGGGACCGACAGACAGAGAGAAAACAACCGATTCTTTGTTGACCTTGATTGTTCATCTTTTGTTGAAAACGGTCTTCGATCATGCGTTTATGTGCTCAGTTAATGGGTGTTATAAGTTTTCTCAGTCAATTTCGGCAAATGAGCAGCCAATTTAAACACTGCACCATTCTATTTCGCACGAAATGTTACGTACCGTGGAATGCTTCGTTTCATTGAGTTGTTTTCCTGTGTTTAATAGTCAGTGGTAGAGTATGTTGAAAATGTATCTACCATACAATCTAAAATACAGCTGAAGCCATGGCAGAGATTTTTGAAGAAGTACAGTGATGAATGGCCGTGTCTAACATGCAGCAAACGTTCAGATTATTTCGGTTTTTGTACGCTGTGCCAGAAACACATCGCAATATAAACATGCTTGGGCAGCAGAAAATGTTAAGAACACACCGAAACTCACCAGCTTCAGCAGCTTCAGATTGAACACATCAGTAATAAATGCCGAGGTAACATTTGTTGATTTTCTTATTGAACACAACCTATCCATCGCTGCTTCTGATCATGGTGGCACATTATTCAGGAAGATGTTTCCCAATAGCAAAATTACCAAACAGTATCAGTGTGGACAAACAACAGTGCTAGCCCTTAAAATCAAGATGCAGTTCCAAATTGATGAGTGACTGACTCTCCTGGGACCTGTAATTAGTTTGTGTAACAGAAACTTACTTCACTTCTTGAAAGCCTGTGAGTTCAAAAATGAGTCAAACCCTGTTTTAACTGACTTACATGGCTGTTAAACCAGCATTTATATGTTTTAGTCTCGCTCTTGCCCTTAAGTATTGTTATGTGGTTGAGTTAGCATTAAACAAGAATAGAATTGAATGGTTTACACTCTGGGGGAATACTTATTACTGTTGTGACGGGATTTGACTAAGTTTTTGTTTAAATGGTGATGTGCCGAACAATAAATACTGGCTCGATGAAATCTGAATGTTGGGAGCTCTGAGTATGGTGTTTTGGTGCATCTAGTCTTCATTGACGAGACAGGTTGCAATGTCTGGACTCGATGCTCTAAGGGTAGAGCTCCCCGAGGGATCGCCGCAAGACGAGTCGTTGACAGACAACCAGGGAGGAATTGCAATGTCACCTTCGCTGTTTCTAGTGATGTCAGCTTGGTGCATCACTGAATCGCATTTGAAACTGTGATGCAAGAGAGATTCAAGGAGATTCTTGCGGATAGTTCAAGAGTGTACTGCAGTTTTCCCAGACGATGAGCCCCTATACCTCATGTATGACAATGCAAAGCCTCACGTGCGAGCCCAACTCCCTGAAGGTACCAACCCAATGATCCAGCTGAAACGCCTCCATTGAGATGGAACATCTGCTTCAAGACTGCAGTCAAACGCACCCTGGGGTTAACGGTTGGCAATGTGTCGGAGACAGACAGGCTGCCTAGCAAGCAGGAATAAACATGCAGCAGTGGAGGTGTGATCTCCTTCAACAAGCAGCCATTCAGAGCGTTGATGTCATCACTCTGGGTGAAGTGCATGCAGTGGTATAACTATACCCAAACATTTGCCAATATGTCTGGCATGCCAACAGGTTGATAGTTGAGGAAGAAACAACATAAATAAACAATAAGGAACTAGGATAAAAAATAGAATAAAGAAAACACCCAAACAATAACAAACGTGAATGTTTCACGAACACAAAAACAAATTACGTCTTGGTCAGAAAATCACAACCAATAGGCCCCATATGAAATCTACGGGAAACATAAATGAATAAAGAACAAAGTTTTGACTGACTTAAAGTGAGGGATACAAAACAGTTGTTTAGTACAATTAAAATTTTTTTCTGTTTGTTCACTTTTTTTTATCGTATTTATTTGAATTCTCATATAGCAAAATTGATTGCCTCTTTATGAAATTGAAAAGAAAAAAAAGTAGCAAAAATGTCCAGTCGAGCCAGCTTTGCTAAATTGAATGATGATAGTGCGTCACGAAAAGGAATGACGATAAGCTAAATTGAACACATTGCTAAAAAATTCAAATGCCTCGAAACGAAATTGAATGCCCGAATTCTAATTTTGAAATACAATAACAACTGGAGAGGCAGAATTGCTTTCAACCCACAAAAATTAAACTGGCTGCTCATTTGCCAAAATTGACAGAGAAAACCTACATACATGTATTACAGCGACAAAGGAAAAGACAATGGCTTGCCCTCGTGATAACATGATAACTCATGTTGGACTTGATGCATGTCGTGAACCTTGATAGGTAGCTTGCTAGTGGAACCTTAAAGAAACTTAATGAGTTTGGACCGCAGAATACAAAGGCCAAGGTCATTATGGTTAAAACAGTAGACCGTCTGGGGCCTATAAACAGGGTTAGCATACTCAAATTTTTAAAGTATCATGAACTGTATTAAACCTATTAAGTATTAAATAATGTCCGGCCTTCCCCTTTCCTTTTGGAATGTTTTCATAGGCTGCCAGAAAGTTTTTAAGAGTTTTTCTAGTAAAGCCAGGATGAAAAATGTCTTGCTCTGCTGCTAATGTCGCCCCTTTTGCATTTTCCCCTCCTTGTGTGCTCCAGGTCTGGCGTATTGCTGTTTTTGGCAGCATATCTATGACTGTCATCATGATAGCATTTGGCATCTTCTTTGGCTACATTTTGAGCATTATCCCCAGTGAGAGTGCCTTTATTGCGGCTTGTATGTCCCTCTCCAGCACCCCACTGGTGGTCAAGTTCCTGAGTGTTGGACATTCCAAAGATGACAAAGAAATCAGTAAGAAAGCAAAAGAGGACAAAGCCATTGGTAAGACATTGTCACTGTTTTGAAAAGAAAAGCAAAGACACTAAAAGGCTAGCCCCTCCTACTTACAGTTGCAAAACTGTTTCTCTGCCAATTTCAGTGTAAAAATTGGTACAACAAATGGTTAGATGGATTTTTTTCATGAAACTGTCAGTTTTAAATTTGATTTTGCTCTTTAAAAGTATAAGTTGATCCCTTGGAAACCAGTATAACCATCAACATAATACATCTTCTGTTATAAAATGGCCATTGCATGTTCCAAAATTGAATCCTTGAAAGCAGCGGCATAGTTACAGGGGGGGGGGGGCACACACACCCCCAATAGAAAAGGAGGGGGGGGCAAACGCCCCCAATAAAAAGTTTGCGCCCCCATTGGAATTTTGATTTTACAGAGGGGCGGGTGTCCGGTGAAAAAAACCTGTCTACCTTTCAGGACGGATGCAATTTTTCGGCGCCCCTCAATTGTAAAGTCAAGCCCCCCAGATGAGAACAATGGCTACGCCGCTGCTTTACAGGCCCCCGTTTTGTCACATTTCCATGTACCTTAATTCTAGTCTTTGTAGAGGTTACTCCCATAATTACAAAACCAGATAGGACAAAATTCCAGTTATAACAAATAAATATTTGGTCCCAGCAAAATTGTGCAAATTTGTAGTGGGAAAAATTTGCGTAAGATGAACTCAGATATTTGAGTTTTGTGTTATAATGAAAGCTTTTGTCAGCAAAAGCATTGTTGGTGACCCATTTATAATGTAATTTTTGAAGGAAGTGGAACAAAAAGAAGAGAAGAAATAGTTGGGTGGGAAGAAGGGGGTATCGTGCACCCTCGAAAATCAACTTCTAATCAACGTCTCCAGATCAGAAAAAAAAATGTGTAGAAAACGATTTGCTATGATAAAAAATTCAAAAAATGTCCCACGTATTGTTTTTATGGAAATTAGTGCCGCCATTACCGAAAAATCTATTTTTTCACTATGTTTTAGCCAATATTGCAGATAACTGATCGAATTAGGTGTCTGAACCCATGTTTTCAAGGTCAGAGATCACAATAAAACTAATCTGCAAGTGACCACATGTGTCTGTGGCATAGGAATATGCAAATTAGTGCCGCTAATACCGGAAAATCATGTTTTTGGCATATCTCGGCCAATATAGCACATAACTACACCAGTAAGGTGTCTAAACCCATGTTTTGAGGGTCAAGTATCATTAGAAGACCATTCACAAAGTAACTATGTGTGTCCTTGGCATGAAAAGATGTAAATTCTAAAGTGCCGATTTATCAGAAATTTGACCATTCACAAAGTAACTATGTGTCGACCGTGTAATCAGCATCCCTCATAGTGGGCGTATTTGAAACCCTGTTCTCGTGTTAATTGAACGCAAGAACAGGGTTTCAAATGAACAGAAAGAACCAACACGCGAACGGTGGCGAACGTCAAGAACAAAGATGGCGGACTTGGGCCCCAACAGCAACTTGCGTAAAAATTTTTGCATAAAATTGAAAGCACTCATTCACTACAGGAGCAGTGTACACTATTAAAAGATAGAATAATAAAATTGTACGTGATCATAGAGTGGGCTTGTCTATGCCAATGTTTATAGCTGTACCAGGATTTAAATTATTTTCCTAAAGATCGTTTTCCCTTCTTTTTATTCAGCATTTTAAAATGGTGGCTGCCATCTTGCATTTCTCCAAACTGTACTCCTTACGCACTTGGACGTTGGTTTTTGGCAACCCAAGAACCCTGTTCACGGGTCGCTCGAAAACAGGGTTTTGAATACTCCGAGTGCGTATTAGTAGGCCAGCCAAATGTGGAAAAGTTCTCTAGAAAATAATTTCACTGCATTTCTGGGTAATAGCTGGCATCCATGCTAGATCAATTCTTTGAACCATAACAAACAAAATGTGGGTAGATGCCTTCGTTAATTTTGACCCTAAATATACCTAATTTGCATAAATCATGAATCCCTGCCGCGTAATATATCTGTTCCCCATATTTGGGTATATTTTGCATTTTTTTTATTTTTAAAAATTTTATTTTGGTGATTCTACTTACACATCCTTACTTCAATAACATTTTCTAAAGCATATAAGTGACTGAATTATGAGGACATAGTAACAATCCAAAATGGCTACTATTACACCCCAAAGTTTCGCGCATTTACCTTGTCCCCATATATCTTCAAGTAGTCTTGCCAAACATCAGTATATGAGCTTCAAATTCACCAAGTTGCTTACTGGCACAGTAACCCTATTAAAACCTTATGGAAAAGCATGCGAACAATGATAACATTGTGATATTTAGCCCAGCAAACAGAAACGGGGAAAACGATTCGTCTGTTAATTGACCTAATATTAAGTGAAGGGTTGCCTAATGTGGGAGAGTTGAAAAAAGTTTCAGGAAATTCCCAAAATTATTGGAAAGAAAACATACTGACATTGACATAATGACTGGAAGCATTTGTTTTTTTTGGAGGGGGGTGTTTCCTTGAACTTATTCGAGTCTCCCGCATTAGGCGACTCTTCGCCTAATTTAAGCCCAGTTTACGCCAGCTCGTTTTACCGTTTTTGTTTGCTGAGCTAAATATCATATGGTTTCATTGTTCACATGATTTTTCCATACAGTTTTAAAAGGGCAACTGTGCAAATAAGCAACCTGATGAATTTGGTGCTCATTAATACTGAGGTTTGGCAAGACTACTTGATGATATCTGGAGACAAGGTAAATGCACGCAATCTTTGGGTACAATAGTAGCCATTTTGGATCGTTGCTATTATAAGAAAATGTTATTTAAGTAAGGGTGTGTTAGTAGAATCACTATAAACTTTAAAAAAAATAGAAAATAAAGAATATACCCACATATTGGAATAAATATATTACCTGGCAGGGATTAACAATTTATGCAAATTAGGTATATTTAGTGTCAAAATTAACGATGGCATCCACCAACATCTTGTTTGTTATGGTTCAGGTAATTGATCTAGCATGGATGCCAGCTATTCCCCAAAAATGCCTCCCTCAGACTCTGGCTGAGGGGTTTCAACAGCAACGCTGTTATTTTTTTCCCTATCCCTGTTATGTCTGACATCTGTGGTTTTCATTATTCTGATGCACTCATAAATGCAATGGTCGTCCAAGAGTTATTATGAATAGCAAACTACCTACCCAACAAATAAAAATATTTTGGCTGTTTCGGCAACCGGCCATGATGACGTCATCACGTGACATATGACGCCATATAAAATAAACATATTTTGAAGGCCTATATCTCCTGAACTACAGGTCCGATGGGGTTGAAAGTTGGTATGTACCTAGACCGGGATGTGTTATAGATGAAAATGAAGTGACGTCATGATGACGTCATCACATGACATATGACATCATCGTAAAAATACATATTTTGAAGGCAGGTATTACAAGAACTACAGGTCCGATTGGGTTCAAATTTGGAATATACCTAGACTGGGATATCTTATAAATAAAAAAAATGATGCCATGATGACGTCATCACGTGACATATGATGTCATAGTCAATAAACATATTTTAAAGGCATATATCTCCTGAACTACATGACTGATTGGGTTAAAAGGTGGTTTGTACCTAGACCGGGATGCGTTTAAGATGAACATTGTAGTGGCGTCATGATGACGTCATCATGTGACATATGACGTCATAGTAAAGTTGCATATTTTTGAGGCTAAATACCTATGATTGGAAAAATGGTTTCGCAAAATTTTGCACATTTTCTGTTGATATGACTACATGCGACAAGTTCCATTCAGTTGACAAATATAGATTCTACCTAAACCTCAATATGATATCGATCACAATATCAGCCGTGTCATGATGACGTCATCAGATCAGAAAAAGCGGAAAAGACTTTCTTTTTGTTCTCATTTTTGGCTTTTTCGCAATTTTGTGAAAAAGCCTTTCATTTTGTTCTCATTTTTGGCTTTTCCGCAAAGTGCAGAAAAGCCTTTGTTTTTGTTCTCATTTTTCTTTTTTTGGCTTTTCCGCAAAGTGCGGAAAAGCCTTTCCTTTTGTTAAGATTTTTCTTTCTTCTTCTTCTTCTTTTTGTCGCCTAAACCCCAGAGACTTTGTACACGTTTTTTCTCAGTGCCACTTTTGGCATTAATCTTTGTCATTCATCATTCAAAGTTAGCATAAGCATAGTCCCTATAGCAAAGATGTGTCCCGAAGATTGATGTCATGGTGACGTCATCGACTAATTTATTATAGATTTTTGAATATTTAATTTTTCCCATAGACTTTGTACACAAAAATTTTAAAAAATGTTGATTTTCAAAGGCCATTTACGACTCTTTGCCAGTAATTCATTTACACCACTCTTTGTCCAAGCAAAGACCCTAATTCAAACAACACCGTGTAATGATGAAGTCATGATGACGTCATCCGGTGTTTATTTATAGGCAATTAAATTTTGACACTTTTAATATTTAAAAGTGCATAAGAAATCAACCATACACGTCCGCAGCATTCTGTTGTCGGCAAGTGGTAGAGTAGGTTGAGGTCTTTATTTCATTCAGTGTGCGTGCAATCACGTGACCCTTGCTTCCGGTTGAAAAAGGCCAAAACCGGAAGTGGCTTATTATTTGAAAGTGGTAATAGATATGAACTTGCTTTTAACGGTGTTAGTCTCTTGGCTGATAGTATTCTTTAAATCATCTACCGATGACGTCATGCAATCTTCGAGTGCCCTCTAGTGACAGGTTGAAAATTTTCAAAAATGCAGTTTGAATAGATGTCTGTGGCGAAGTTTGTCGGAATCGCCTAAATATTGGTGTATATGATGACCTTGACCCACTTAAGACGTGTGCGACATTTTAGGCGTATGACGTCATCAGACCGGAAGTTATAATGAAAAGACCTTTCCTTTTTCAAAAATTGCTAACAGATCAATCCGTACAGATATAACCTTGAATTGCCCATTAATTGATAGCGTAAACATTTGCCTCAACAGTGCCAAGTTCCCATCTTGTCAAATTGTTCATACAGTTGACGCGCCGTCGGGAAAACATATCCTTGCTCAAGCTGCAGCAGAGAGAGTAAAAAATGCCGACTTATCGAAAGCGAGCATAAACCCGAAGTGTGTGCGTGTATACATTGACCAGATTCGGCATCGCCTGCTTCCCATACACCACACACGCACGTGGTGGTGAGGGCGCGGACCGACTAAGCGCCACATTGTCATACTGTTGATGTCTCTGGCGAAATTTACGGCGATCACTTCAAAATACATCAACATTTGTAAAATGCGAAAAAGCCCTGTGTTCTGTTTGCAAACAGACATGTATATACAGCTCTAGTTTTTCTTTCTTCTTCTTCTTCTTCTTCTTCTTTTTGGATATTTTGAAGGCCAATATTTACAGAACTGTATTGGTCCTGATCACTCTACCGCACATGTTGTCCTATCAGCCTTACATGACATAAAAATACAATAACAAATTATTTTCTCTTTTGATGTGACGTCTTCATGACGTCATCACGTGACATGGGACGTCATAATTCAAAGCCCTGAGAATGAAATCGCATATTTATATGCCACCATTTAATATATACATAACCACACATCCTTCCTGGACGGGACTTATACTTGAAACTATGTCACATATATATGTCACAAAAAGTTACCGAAACAGCCCTGTGTTTGTCCACAAACATAAATCTAGTTCTCAACATATTCTTGATTTCTCAGTTTTAGAGGGGGGCAGGGTCATTTTGGCCCCCCCCCCCCCAACTCATTAAATTTACACCACTATGACTTCGCGCCTCTTTTTCTTTTTCTTTTTCTTTTTTTCCCTCTTTTTTGGGGGGTGGGCTTTCCGGGGGGGGGGGGGGCACAAGCGCCCCCCCTTGCCCACCCCCTGGCGACGCCCATGAAAGCAACACATCTAGACATATAGACGAACTTTTTTTGCCGTGTACTGTCGGTACAAGTAGGCCCTTTGTACATACATGAGCTTGAAAATGTGACACTTCTTTACGATACCGTTCCATGGATTTACGTTTCACAAAGTTGCTCACAAAATCATATGGCTTCACACTCGGCTTGGTAGCATACCGTTTCACGAAAGTGTCAAATTATTTGCTTAGGCTGTCTTATTTTCTCCCTGTTTCGTGGTAAAAGTTGCCCTGAAAACAATGTTAGGAAAATAGGTTAATTTAATATCTAAAAATTCTCAAAGTAGCTTCTTTGAGGGTGTCATCTTGGGTTGTATTTTTTGGGGGGAGGGGGAATGCAATCTCACGCTCCATTCATAGAAACGACCCCAGAACATGGATAGCAATCTAACCTGAAATTCGTGAATGAAACATCGTCAGAATTTTGTCAATGTTTCTCCTTTTTGGAATGTTTTATCAATTCTTCTACGTTTTGACCAAAAAAGGTGTTTTTGAGTGGTAATAAATATGTGTTTTAAACAAGATGTTTAAAACCAGTTTGGAGTCTGGACACTAATAATGAACCTCGCCTTCGACTCTGGCCATTACCAGCGTCCAGACTCCAAACCAGTCTTAAACATCTTGTTTAAAACCAGCCAAACACGTTTATTCCCATTAATAATAATACCACAAAATGTCTCTTCCACAAAAGTTATCAAAACGTGCCCCATGAATAATAATGCAAATTTGCTTTAATTAAACGAAGTATAGTTAGGACTAATAAAACTGAATAAAAATAAGGGACAATGGCCGAAACATGGTCTGTATCGCATGGTATCAGCGTGCGTGGCCTGCCATGTGGGCCGGCTCTTGGATGTGTGTATCAGCAACGGTCATAAAATCACTTAGTCATACGGATAATCATTGAAAGTCAATAAACTTGAAGAGTGAGATGTAACAATAATCTACAACTCTGCATCGTAATTTGTTCTGAAAAGTTCCAAAGTACAGTAAACTCCGGCTAAGACGGCACTCTCAGGACCAGAGAATTTGTGACGATTTACGCAAATGTCGGCTTCTGCTGCAAGCTGTCAATTTGCCGACTTACACAAATACACAAATTGAATCAATAGAAAAAAAAAAATAGATTGAATTAATGGCCTATGCGCATCTGTATCTAGATCATGCAAACAAGATTCATGGCTAAAATTCAAAGGCTTTGATTTACCCTGGTTTATTTCTACATCCATGGTTGATTCCAGCAAATATATCCTCAATGTTTATCATCAGAAACAGGCTGTGGAATTGATCACAGAAAGTCATGCATGTACATGTACGTACGTACGAAGCAAGGATGGTGCGGCATACTGCACTGTACGTCCATGTACATGTAGTGTACATTGTGCACGTACGTACGTGTACAGTCACGAATTAAATGTGTGCATGGTACTGGTACAATAAGGGGACCCCCAAAATGAACAGAGCGCATGCGTGCAGTCGAGAGGGGGTACTGGTATTGATGTGCTATCGGGAAAACCCCTTCACGCACGTGTAAGCGAACGATGCACACAATGTACAGACTGTGCATGAAACAGTGTACACGTGCGATTAGTATACACGTGCTGGCCGATGCATCAATCACGGGCCGTGCCATTGGGACTTTTTCACTCGACACTTCTTGCAAACCGCAGAGCACGATGCCGACTTATACAGAGGATTTTTTGTGGTTTTGAGGAAATGGGACTGAAAGTAACACGCCGACATAGGCGAAATGGCGGCTTTCAAAGGTCGACTTACAAATGAAAATGTCAATGGAAATGCATTAGAGACAATCGGGACTTTCGTCAGACAGCCGATTTAAGCAATATGACGGTTTATACGAAGTCGGTTTAGCCGGAGTTTACTGTACTTTGCAAAAAAAATTATGAAATTGTGTGCAAAATATGGTTTTTCATTATATTGATGTGAGTGGAACAGTGCTCTACCCATTGTTGGTGGACTTTCAATTTGTCATGGAGTCCTTGTTAGAAGCCATGTGACCAGGGACCACATCCACAGTCATGATAAAAGCAATGTTATTTCTGCAGTGCTTCAAACCGGGGAAAATTGGGACAAGTCATTGCTTTTTATTCAAATAAAACCTGAAAAGGGAATTATGAAAGGCCCTGTAAAACTTTTTGTTTCTCCTTTGTCAACCCAGCCACAGATGCCAGCGAGTTTGAGTACAGCTCCACATTGCTAGGAATCCTGGTAATGCAGGATGTGCAGCTAGGCCTATTGGTAGCCATCCTGCCTGCCTTAGCTGGTGTGGACTCGGCCTCAGCTGCCCTCAGTCCTAAACCAGGGAACAAAGATTTGACCAGTGTGTTGGTAGAGTTCTTCGGCGCGGTTCTCCTCTCAACAAAAGTGATGCTGGGTAATAATCAATATTTTGTGTCTGCTGTGATGTTAGGCGTGGCATTTTGACATCTGAGGTACAGGCGAGTGTGTCATGCGCCATGGTCTCTTAGAGTGTTGTGAGTAATTTGGACCTATAAAGTGACTGTGTCCAACACATGATAAAACAATCAAAATTATGAACCACATCAGGTTTTGTTGTTTATTTAAAGCTACAGTCCATCATTTGCACCTATCCAAAAAGTAACTGACATAATTACTGTTGAAAAGCATACTTGGTTTAAAGATAGTAATGGGACTCAATTCCCTGTGAAAATATTCTTTCTGGTAAGCTGTCGTTTTGAAGAAAAAAACAATGAAAGAAGGCCGTTTTCCAACGATGCGTCGAAAGGTGCATTCTCGTTAGTAGTTTGTTTTTTAATTTGGCAAAGTGTGCTCAAGCATTGACACGATGCACACGTGTGCGCTGTTGCAATAATTTATCAGTTAAGTGCCCGACATCCCGTAGCTGCAATCGGCTGAATGAGAATGTGTCCCGGACGTTGCATTCGGATGAAATTCAAAACATGACTCGGCAACTTTTGATTTGAAATCGAGATTCTAGAATACTGTTTTTCTTGGAATATATAGCATTCACTGAGCTATATTTTCATCAGGTTAGTTGTTAAGCACCTTTCTTTAGATTTTGAGCACAATTTGTTGCTTCAAATGAACACATACATAAATTACATATGATGTACCCTACCTTTAATATGGCACGTAATCCTTGCGCTGTAGTGCTTCTGAACCAAATTGTTAAGATATTTCACAGATTATGTAACCAAACAAATGAAAGAAAACACCACTTTTCTCTTGTTCCAAAATTAATCCAATTACATTCAATAGATTAATGGAGGCATGCTACCGGACCCCTCCAATAGGAAAATTGGCGGGTAAAAGTTGTAGTTTTTTGAATTTATTTTTGGACCATTGAATTCTTAAGAAAATCACCCTCGGAAAAGGCCTTTGTAAAATTATTTAAAGCATCTCAATTCATGGAAACCGAAAAATTGCATGACATTGCCGGATGTGAAAGGTTGAGGTAAAATTCATTTTTACCCATTTCCAACCGATTACTCATATTTTTTTTCTTGTGGAATGCCAAGATAAAATTCCAACATGAATGTTTCTTGCGGGTGATTGCGGTCAGAAATCATTCTTTTCAAAAGTTATAGCAACCCATTGTAAAATGTCTGTAACCCGTGGTTCACATTTCAAAATAACAGGAACCAAATTTTATATTAATTTAACTCCCTTTTGAAAAAAGGACTCTTGACTTCACACCATTCAGGATTTACGTATACAATGAAATATGTTTTATTGCCAGAAATAAAGTAGTCTCAAGCAATGGAAATACAAATTAAGAATGCAATGAGGTTAGGCCACAAAAAAAAAGTCTCCGGTTTCTGGTATGGAGCTTGCCCCAAAAGTGGTGCGGCGACGCGGCTTTTTTTTTTTTTTTACCTGTTTTTTTTTTTTTTTTGGCTTCAAATGTCAGCTGATGACTGCAAATGGTGCCCGACTAAACTTAGTGCAAATATATGGGAGTCCAGAGAGGCCACATAAATCTTATTCTCGATCATAACCCCATCTAAAAACACGTTAAAATTGTGCAGCAGCAGAATTCCAGTCAAACCAGTGAGTTTGGCGGTTTTGAAACATCATCTTGTATTGAAAAAAAACCTTTTTCATTTTGCCGACGCGCATGGCTACGGCGACGCGCGCGCATACCAGAAACCGGAGACTTTTTTTTTTTGGCCTTAAATATAATTCACAGAACACACAGGATCCTGTAAGATTCAAAATACAAAGTTAGAGCTCAGAAAAAAAAGGTGCCAAAACTATAAAATGGTTAAACTCGCGATTTCATCCATCCGCGGTAGTTCGGAGTCCATACATAGCGTAGAGTAGCTTGAAGACAATTGAAGAACGATGTGACAAAGTAGACTAGTTGATGAAAGGTTCAGTTGAAGATGAAGTAGAAATGACGACTCTCGTCATTTGTCGGTACAGTAAAACAAAGGTATACTTGCGGGGTCTTGAAAGATGATGTGGCTGTGTCTAGGGCAATGCTGGTGGCTGTGTCTAGGGTAGAGCTGGGTTTTCTTGGATGTCTTGGTCACTCGGATGTCGAGGATCTTGGGTGGAGCTGGGTCGCTCAGACGCCTTGGTCTTGGATGTCGAGGATAGTGACGGGTCTCCGACTCACTGACTCACTGGAGCACGTGATAGGGTGTCAGGCGGGCAGATTGGGAAACACTCAGACGGTCCCGTCTAGGTCTCCCTTGAAGTGACACAGCTGGTCCAGTCTTCTTGGTCTAAAACAGAGAGTTACATGGTGGTCCATGCCACATTACTAATATTATCTAACACTACGAAGTCAGACCAAAGTGGCTGACTTTTCTACATGTAAATAACACACTTCCGTAATCACACATCACGTGCGAAACTTTAAATTTGGATATCAACCTTCATGTTAATTAACATGTACAGATAAGCTCTTCATCATAGAAACATATCAAAGAAATCAACTTGTCGCCTAGTACTTCTCAGTTGATAATTCTAACGTATTCACTTAGAACAACTTTAAAACCAGGCGTGATCAAAGGACTAAATTTCTCAGTCTCATACATGAGACACAAATCAAAAATAGGAACTCCTTCCCTAAACTGAACTGTTCAGGTACTTGAAAACTAACTTCCAAAACTTGATCATGAGGTAACCACAAATGTAGATCTCTAAGATCTCTAATATGCAAACACCAAAAAAAAGGGACTAGAATCTATAATTTATATTACACAAGTGTGCATCTTTTCTTGTGTAACCCCAAACTCTATCACAAGACATCAGTTTGTGTCTTTGAGTTTGGGTAAATCAAATCACAAGAAAATAGTCAAATATTCGCGAAGTACTTCAACAAGTACCATAAGTCGCAACCGTGGAATAGAACTTCAACAAAAATAGATCAGTCCAGACTGTAGGACTATAGTCAGTTTACCACAGAAACATCACGAATACGATGGGTGGTAAATCCTGACTTCATAAAAATACAAAAATCTGTACACAATGCTGAATAAAATCTGGAGCATTACTCATTCTTGGTTTGACCTCAAAACCGCTTCATGTAACTTCAAAGAAAAAAATAGAAAATGCACGGATCCAACTCACTACACAAATTTGCTAAAACACTTGTCTAAAGGTAGCAATAAAAGATGCAAAACTCTCCAATTTAATATCCTTTTTGAATCTCTCAGAACATCATTAACCTTGGTAATAATCTACAAAATGCTAAGTCTCCCTCTTATGAATTTGTCTAGACTCACTAAAATTCGTGAAGTCCAGACTTCATAGAAAAATCTATTTAAGCAATTCTCTTCACAATTTACAAAAGTCACAGAGAAAAGGTAATGACTATGATAATCTAAACATGACAAATAATTACTCAACTTACCTAAAACAGAGAGCCAACATTTGTGCAAAAAGGAGGGAACTTGGAATCAGGATTCTCCAATCGAACAACAAAATGATGCAAAAATGGCTGGTGAAAATGGCAGGCATGCAGTCAGCACGGTGGCAGAATCAGGAATGGCAAGCTCTGCTAAAATTTTGGGGCAGCTAGCACCAAGACCATGCCCTGATCACATGACTAGCCAGGCTCTCATTGGTCAAACTTCAAATTGTCACACAAGACTCTAATACTGATTGGCCATTTATTAACCAGGCAGATGAACACTCAGCAGAGTTCGTGGTTTTCACAGCTTCTGCAAGGTGTGATCAACAACCAGGGATTAAGTGTCCCTACATCCTGCTTAGCTCCTGGAAGAGTACACAACTGGTGCACCAGTCAGTAATAAAAAGGCAGTGGACACAAAAGACATCCTCTATTCTTCCAGGCAGTGGGAAAGTTCAAAGACAGGCTTTAACAAAAGTAGGAAAAGATCAAAGGTCTACTGGAGCACAAGTCACCAGTAGAAAAGATGAAACATCATAAAAGATTAGAAAAGGGAAGTTAATGCAAATAGTAAACCCAGTCATAAATATAAAATAATACTATAACCCAAGACCTCTTTTTGGGTCGGGGTTACATCCTCCCCTTTCTTAACTTGCTACCTCCGGGAGCATGAAGAAAAGAAAACAAGGAAATATATACATATATACAAATCTAATAGCCGAAAATCTTCTTCTTATACTCGGCAAACATCCGAGGCGTTTTGGAATTGCCGGCTATACACACTGGTTGTCCTCTCTCTTCAAATTTCATCCGCTCGGATGGTCTTGACACTCGAGTTGAGCGTCTGACAAAGCTTGACTCGGAATCAGAAGTTTCTGTCACAATGGGTTGGGTCGGCACTGGGTCATCAACAGGCTCGTTTGATGGAGAATCCTCAGTGGATGGCCATTGCATCTCATCTCTAATGATGAGTTGATCCTGAGGAATTATGGGGAAGTCACAAGTACTGGTGGAATGAGAGGGCTGTCCACTGTAGGTGGTTCACTCAAATCTGCATCTGGCAGCGAAGTTGTCGTTGGGGTTTCGGATAACTTTTCAATGTAGTCATGTATCTCCTCACAAGGAGACGGAGGCTGTTCTGTGGACAACTTCTCAGCATCAACACGTACTTCACAAGAAGGTGAAGGCTGTTCTGCGATTGAGCTTGGTTCCTCCTCTGAACAGGTATCTACTGACAGGGTGGTATCCGGTTGATGCTGAGGGACGAACTCTGGGGCCTCTGCAACAAGTGAGGATTGGAGCAGTTCCTTGGGAAAAACTACAACCACCTCGTCGTCGCTAGATTCTTGACTCTCTGAGTCGGACTGACATTGTGGAGGCTTAGCCTTCGCTGCTGCTCTTGTGACAGGGCGTTTGGGCTTGGTGACACGATGCTGGGACTCTTCACCATTTAAGTAGTCGATAGGCAACAAAATGTTCCTATGCAGCGTTCGGACACGCCCTTCTCCTGTCTCTGGCTGGACACGATA